CGCGTCCCCGACGCTCGGATCCCCCCTCTGCGCGCGCCCGTTTCTAGTCACGCCCTCCGTCGGCGATCTCCATCTTTTCACGTCGTCACCAACTTTCCCTTCTCGGGGAGGGGTGGAGTCCGATGGGGATCACGTGCTCCGAAGCCCCGCCCGCAGACGTGGAACCGAAGCGGCATGCCGGGAAATGAAGTCTTCGTGAGCTCTGACTGCGCAGGCGGGAGTTGGGGTGATTTTCCTCCCTTTTTTTCCTCCTGGTCTCCGCCCACACAGAAGCCGTGTTGTTTCTTAGAGGGGGGTTTCTCCACCTTGGGAACTTCAAGATGGGTGGACTTCAACTCCCAGAATTCCCCAGCCAGCCATGCTTGTTTAAACATTTCTACACCCTAGTTGTTTGCCCCAGTGCGACTACAGGTGGCCTGGTTCTCCAAATACAAACCCAAGGTACTATTTTCTGTCCCAAGAGAAGCCCATTTCACAGAAGAGCAAGTTGATGTGGCTAAAAGACAAGTAATTTACCTACAAATCTGAACACAGCACAAAACATTAATAGCCCTGTGGGATCCGGCCAAGGCTGGCCTCATAGCAGCCAAGTTTTTCCCTCTCCCCCCAGCTGAGTTTACCCACCCTGCCAAGCCATTGTCTGGATTCACCCCACAAGCAACCCATAAACCACTGTTTGCAATTGGCTTACTTTACACAACACTTTATCTAAACCACATTATGGCTTATCTTGCCAGTGTCCTCCCTTTTCCAGCTGAGTGTGGGAGAGGCTTTCTCTCTGGATGCGATTTTGAGCTGCTTATTTTGCTCTTATAGGTTGCCATAGAGGTACAGTATTCATTTCTCAAAAGGCAGAATATTTGAACACTTTGGGCTAGTCGCTCTCTCTCAGCCTAACCCACCTCACAGGGTTGTGGTTGTGGAGAAAATAGGAGGCAGAAGAATTAGGTAGGTTGGCTGCCTTGAGATATATATATAAAAATGGCAGGATAAAACAACAGTTGTGACTGCAAGCGTTAGAAAAAACTCAATCATACTCCTTTTAGAAACAGTTTCATATCTGTGCCAGTTTCAAAGGCCTGTTGCTTGTTACTTCCAGATTATTCTGAGTGTATCTCATCAGTCTCAAGGGAGGAATATTTGTGAGAGGGGAAAGAAGGTCTTGTTTTCAGAATATGAACTTGCTCCACTGGAGCTAGTAAATGTTTCTCTACTCTCTTACTCTTATTTCAGCAGAGAAGCTGCTTTACCTATTTTAGAACATCTTTCACTGGGTGGACCAAAAAGCCATATGCTGTACAAATTTGCCATCCCTTAACTCCAATCCACCTTCCCAGTTCCAGAAATGCCTGTGTTACATCTGCAGCAAATCTAGTTATTTTGCATGGCACTATTCAATATAGTGCCCAGAGTCATTGGGAGTTAAGTGGCATATACAGTTAATAAATAAGAATAAAATCCATTGCATGCACAAATAAGAGATTTGCTCTTATACTATTATTGGCACAATAATACAAGATGGACAAGAAGCCTGAAAAAAAAAAGAACAGTACAACTGCAGGCAGAGTTGTTTAATTCAACCCAATTGTCTCCTCTTAATTTTGGGGGGGCAGGGAGAGTTACATAAAATAATGTCTAATTTTGATGCCTGAAAGGGGGGGGGGGAATCACTGCTGACTCGGCACATAATACGTATATTGCTTTCACACTTTATTCAAATTCTAAATCAGTTAAATTTGCATCTTTCCTAGGCAAAGGGTGGCAGTCTCCTTATTCACTAAAGCAGATCTCTCAAGTAAATAATAAACTCTCTATCCCCGGAAAACCTGTCCCACATCACCTACCCATTCTCCAGAAAAATGCCTTGAAATTGAAAAGGATTCTTGGGCATATTCTAGGTGTAATCTTTAGTTCACATAGGAGATGCAACTTTCCTGTTACTGTATGGAAAACACACACAGATCTTAGAATGCACCAACTGAAATTCTACATTGCAGAGAAAGTAATACAACAATAAATGGTAAGGTTTATTTGCTATTGCAGACTTGGGAGTGATTCTAAATGTTAGGCAGGTGGTCATTATCAACCAAAATACAGGAATTTACATAAAGAGTTGTATCTGTTTATGGGCTTTAGATTTTTCCCACCTTTAGAAGCTCAAAAACATCCAAAAAGGACATTTTCCCTTTGTTGTATTGTATTGGGATTACCTCCTCAAGGTGTAATAACTGCTTTTAAAAAGTTTGTTCTGTACCACCGTGAAGAACCAGCAAACAATTGGTTAGGGCAACTCTGCAGAAGCAAATTTAGAAACAGCAAATTAGTAGCTACCAATGTATTTACTATTAGTGTTCCAATATTTACAGCTGCTTTCTTTTTAGCTACTGTGTGTAAGATCTTTAGTTTTTACAAGACAAACCTATGAGTAGTCACAGATGCAGAGTTTCAGGAAAGTCTTTGAAACAAGCAGCAAGCTTGACATTTACAGTTTTAATAAAATATGGACGCTAAAATTGCTAACACTCTTCAGTTGCGCCGCACTGGAAAAGGTTCCAGCCCCCCAGAATTTGAACCACAGCAAGACAATATATTAAAACTTTTTTCAGTGACAGAGCTAGAATTATTCCAAGTCTCCCTGGGTGAGTGGATGGGTGTCTATACATACTCTAAATTTCCATTCAGATAAATGTACAATCAGTAAAATATCCAAGTGGGAACAACATTGTCAGTTTGTTTCTTACAACAGCCTTGACCCCACAGCACAAACATAACTAATCTATCTTTTTGTCAGAGTCTTCTTTGGGCCCACATCCAGAAAATCCATTTGCAATGCCATTGCTTTTGGTCTGAAAGACAGGAGGGGGGGGGGGGGAAAGAGATTTTTAAATGCACAATCATTCCGTCAGAGCTTTGAATGAGAAAAACCAGAATGGCGAGTAGTTGGCCCTAAGATGTTTTTCTTGGTCCTAGAAGGATCAAGTCCCTTTTAGATCATGTATAAGATGACCTTGGGGGTGGGGGTGGGGAGGTAGGTTGGATTCCTCATTGAAGAGAATCATAACTTTCCTATTGCATAATACTTTTTTAATACCTTTAAGCCACTTCACCTGCAACCATGTATGCCCATCAATGGGAATATATTAAAACCAGAGAAGGTAACATCCTTGTAGGCAGAGACTACATTTGGGGGAGGAGGGGGGAGTCTATATGGACCACACAAGGCATGCTTAGTGATGTCACCTGAGCAGATAGGGACAATTTTTCATCTTACTGTGGAGGTGGGGGGCTGGCTTACAGAATCTGTTTTTTAAGCTCCCCAAAGGAAAATAATCTGGGGGCAATGGGGCAGAGAACACGGAGTGCCTTCAACTTCAGCAAAGCTGATGGTTCTCATTTTGCTCTTTCAAACCCTAAAACCCAACCCATTTACAAAATGGCAAAAAATTGTGCCTCAGCTAGTTTGGACAATAAAGAAAATTTAATAGTGGCTCAGCCCACTCCACAGACTATTAATTATTAATATTATTTAATAATTAATTGTTATTAATACTAATTATCGATTGTTATTAATTATTAATAGTATTATTTTGGAGTTGCAAGCACTGTTTAGGCGCAGCCAGACATCCTGGCACCTACAGGCCCCATGTTGCTAATCCTCGCCCTAAAGCACAAAGATATTGGCTTTCACACAAGCATTTTAAACGGGATGATTGTGCATCCAAGTGTGCGCAGAGCTGCAACCACTTCCACTAGAAAGCCAAGCTTTTTCCAGTCCTCTGCAGCCCTTTTGTTGCCCTGACTTAGAGGCAATCTCAGTTCTGTTCCAAGGGGGATATTCGTAGGTAAAATATACACAAGATGAGAACATCAGAGGAAAGACCACAGGGTCGCGAGTGAGACCACTGCCAAGACCTTCAGAGTTAAAATTCAAAATGAATAGCTTCCTTTTCTTCCCATGACTATTCCAGGACATAGTATTTTACTCCAGGGAATGGCATGGCTGGTGCGGAGGATGAAAAAACAGAGAAGCTGGTGTGTTGGAATGAGAGCATTAAGTAAGCAAGACTTGTTTATAACCAGCAAAGCCACATGAATCACACATCCATTTCAAACAGGGCTCCTCAAAACACACACACACACATTTTGCCCAGGTAATGCTTACTTTATAAAGTTCTGGCTGATCCTTGGAGGAATCCTGCTTAAGAAAATCAGGCCCATGTTCAGAGCGGTTCCTTTGGTCTTGGTTTGGTGTTTCCTGCACTGCTTTCTTGGGCCAAATGCGTTTAATGAAAGGAGAGATGAAGGGATAGATATACGGCTCAAGGAACCTTTTATAGACCCACAGCAGAATTGGAATGATGATGCAGGGAATACACACCATGGTTCTTCCGAGTGTGACTTTAAAAATGTGCTGGAAGAGTAAATATAACACAGTAAGTTGAAACTATTCTGTAGACCAGGTTCATCCTCTCCAATTCAGGGGGGAGACACTTTCCAAGTCGGGATGTGTGACAGCCTTCTCCAAAATGCCTTATACATGGGTTGAACTTCAATTCCCATAACTCCCTGGGTGGCAGCCATGCTGACTGGGAGATTCTGAAAGTTGGACCTATACATTTGGGCTGCACCACACTGGGGAAAGCAATTCAGCATGCATTCACACCACATGATCAGCATAAGCTGGTGTGACCCAGCAAACCTTTTAAATAGCACATTCTCTTGTTCAGACAATTATCTTTTGTTAGCAGATATTACAGAACAAAAACAGAAAAGTAATGGGGTATGTTGGTATTCATTAAAAGTGAACAGACTAGGGAGTATGGGTAAACCCATAAATATATTTTGATAATTTGGTAAGAGGAATCTAATCCTAAACAGAAGTCATATTTTCATTGCATAATACAATTAGAAATTTTATTGCATAATGTAATGAGAAATACAGAACACTTTGTAATATATTTTTATCCAAGAGTTCCACTGGCCTGAACTCAGCTTATCTCAATTGTATAAGAAATAGTGGACGGGGCAGTATTTTTTTCTTAATAACAAAGTCAACTTCATTTGCAAATGCAGAAACCATAGCATCTAAGTCTCAATACAAATATCCTGAATTCTGCTGACTGTGTTTTCAGGCCATCACAGGGGCATTTGTGGGGAGGTGATTGGTTGAATTTCTGTGGGATTTTTATGTAATTAATGTAAAAGAAATGTGGGGCTTTAACTGCATGGTCTTCCTGACTTTCTTCACTCACTCACTCACTCACACCTAGGCCATCGGCTTCATGTTAGTATGGCATAAAATGGTTAACTCTGGCATAAGGATTAGAGAGTTGGATTCTGACAACTAATAACCTATTTTAGACTAGTTAAAATTTATTCTACGAAGTTGCTAACCTGCCAATCAAAGCTTTGTAAAGGGATACAGTATTAGTGACCTGGCTTTTTAAAAATAGGCTAACTGTAACTTCTCCCCAAGGAAAACAACTGTTTTTGTTATAAATGATAATGAATAGTTTCTTCTTCCATTTTGGGGTTCTAGCTCCTATCTCTTTCAAATATATTTTCATATATTTAAATGCATTTATATTGTTTTAGATTTTAAAAGCTAAGACACTGTAACAGAGAGTCACAACACTTCAGCTTTATTTGCATTTTGCTGAAAACAACAATGATCTTTGCTGCACTGAGACAATGCATGCAGTTAATTACAGCTTGCTCATATTCATGTTTGCTAGGTGGTTTATCTACAGCTGAGCCATGGACCAGCTACATGAAAAGAGAACTGCAGCTTTAATTAGTTAACTATACCAAACCTGAGATGATCAGTTAGGAGCATGCTTACTCCATAGGTAAGCTGGATTTTAAAATACTATTTTATTATATCATACTAAGAGGAGAAACCCCTTCATGGATCACTGCCTTGTCGTGGCGAAGGGGCTTGCGTAACTCAGTGAA